TTTTATAAAGAATATCTCTTTGGATTTGAGACTTTAGTCTTTGCAACTTTACAGATCTTCTTTATGCACCAAGAGCTTGTAACACTCCAAAGAGAAAGGAAAAATTGAAATCGCATCATATGACCCCTTTAATATGAACATTTGATTTGACACTATTACAAAGTGCTTTTTTTAGAATGAGTGCACTTTTATTCATGAATGCATACGTACACTTATAAAGTGGCCTTATTTCATGAATAATAAATCTGCAAGTACCTTTTTTTATATGCTTTTAAGATTTGAAGTACACTGCAAGTGCACATTCAATACAATAAAGTGTACTACTTTTTCACAAGGGAGTGATCTGTTCTGTAGTCACTGGGAACTGATATAACACGATTGACTACTTCTTGTGTTTGCAGAAAGTGCGTAAAGAAGGAACACTCTCCAAATCTTCATCAGGGATGCACAGCGGAGGAGAGGAAGAGCCTGAGGACGAGTCTCACACTCCCCTCCCTCCACCAATGGAGATCATCAAAGACCCGTCTGCGCAGGAAGAGAAGGTACACACACACAACAGAGAGGGAGGAGTGTGAGGAGAGTCATGTCATAGGAGAGGTCCGCAGGGTTATTAATGTGGAGAGAGATTTATTAAATGCATACTGTGTCACTCATCATATGTTCATAACTATCTCCACCTGCCTCCCTCATAGCCCCCCCCCCACACACACACACACACACAGGGGCTTTACTAACACTGTTTTTCTTCCCTGATGTCAATGTCACCAGTAACTGCTGGGGTGGAGGCTCCTTGTCTCACATTCAACAAACCACACATCCACCCTATTGTTGCAATGAAGCTTAAATTATGTAGTTGTGAAATTTTTACTGTTGCACTCAACTCTGGCTCTTTCACACGCTGTGCCTTGCGATTGCAGTTGTAATGTGTTTACAGCCCAATGCTGTCTGACAGGGTGAATCTCAAAAAGAGCGTCGCCTTATTTCCCTCCAAAATCGAAATTAAAAAAGCATTTCATAAAGAAACTAAAGACTAGTTTTAAAACCATTATGATTGCTTGTATTGTGACATTTATTATTATTAATGTAACCCAGATTATCTCTATCATTTTTGTTTGTTTTGTAATTCCCATTAGTTTCATTATGTATTATTATTATTATTATTATTATTATTAGACTCTCTGTACAGTAAAATAGTAAGAAATCCAATTCTCACAAGATGTTTTTCATGCTTAAATAACAATTTATATTTTTATTGAGCAAGGATGAATTAAAAAGTGACAGTAAAGAAATGTATGATTTCTATTTCAAATCAATATTGTTCCTTTTATTCTGTTCTAAATTTCTATTCGTCAAAGAATCGTAAAAATGTGTCACCGTTTCCACAATAAATATGAAGCAGCACAACTGTTTTCAACATTGATAATACTCAGAAATGTTTCTTGAGCAGCAAATCAGCATATTATTATGATTTCTGAAGATCATGTGACACTGAAGACTGCAGTAATGATGCTGAAAATTCAGCTTTAACATCACAGGAATAAATTACATTTTAAAATATATTCAAATAGAAACCAGATGTTTATTAATTGTAATAATACATCACAATGATTCTTTTATAGAGTATTTTTGATCAAATGAATGCAGCCTTGGTGAACATAAGAGACTTTTTATAGATAAATCTTTATAGACCCCACAATTTTGAACAGTAGTGTATACAACAAATACTGTCGTAAAATATAAATGTTATACATTAGATCTGTTTCACCCATTAAAAATAATCATAAGAATGAGAATTTGGGGAGAAATTACTAATTGTCATAAAAATAATTGCAGTGTCACTTTGCACAATTTGTAAAGGTCTTAAGGTCTCATTTTCTATATGTGACCCTGGACAACAAAACCAGTCATAAGGGTCAATTTTTCGAAATTGAGATTAAATAAATAATAAATAAGCTTTCCATTGATGTATGGTTTGTTAGGATCGGACAATATTTGGCCGAGATACAACTATTTGAAAATCTGGAATCTGAGGGTGCAAAAAAAATCTAAATATTGAGAAAATCACCAAATGAAGTTCTTAGCAATGCATATTACTAATCAAAAATTAAGTTTTGATATATTTACAGTAGGAAATTTACAAAATATCTTCATGGAACATGATCTTTACTTAATATCCTAATGATTTTTGGCATAAAATGAAAAATCAATAATTTTGACCCATACAATGCATTTTTGGCTATTGCTACAAATATACCCCAGCGACTTAAGACTGCTTTTGTGCTCCAGAGTCACATATGGGAGACTATAATTAGTTATTTTTCTTTTGATTTGGAGGTGAAATGTTTGGCATGTTCTTGGCATGGCCTTTGCTTCTCTTCTCCCCAAAGCAAAGCTTGATAAACTGGGCTATAACCCAGCATCCTGAGCTGTTCTGATCTGCCTGTGTGTTCTTTCCTCCTCCTCCTACTCCTCCTCACCTGCTGTCTGTCATGTAGTCGTCTGTGCTGCTGGCTTCACGGCAGAGCTCGGCTGACGTCCCCAGTGCTGCTGAGCTTGTCAGTGCTATAGAAAAACTGGTCAAAACTAAGATGGTGAGTGTGCCACTGAACCTGAGCAGGGAGGCTTGATAGACTAACCTCCTGCAGGCTTTCCTCGTTTCCTTTCTGTTTTCTCTTGCTCTGAGACAGTCACTAACTCTTGCACTACTGAGATCTTCTGCACTAGTCTCGCATGCACGTGTCTTTTGTTCTGTGCAGTTGTATATTGTTACCTGAGCAAAAACATTCTTCATACCAGACCTGTTTAGCACACACACAAACAAGTGTGTAACTTAACTTTACTGATCTATTTATATTTAATTTGACCTTTGACCTTTACTTGAGAAAACATTTTTTACAGTGCTGTGTTGCTTACCAAGAAATTCTGTAAAAAACATTCAAAAAAATCTCACGCAGAACAGTTAAATTCTTTAGAATAATGTAATCTGAAATAAAAGTATCAGTTATTGCTTATGAATTCCCTTTTTGATCTCAATTATTTATTAGGTTTATAATATAATATAACATAATATAATATAAAAACAAACTGAAGCATTTAAACTGGTAGAATAGAATAGAATAGAATAGAATAGAATACAGACTGAGAAATCACACTGGGATTGTATTGCATCGCGAGACATGCTAGGCTATGAGATTATTATTAGATAATATTATTGTTCCACACCTGTGATGGCTTTAGTTATGTTATATATTTGACATTCAAGGAATATTCCATTATTGTATTCATCCTTAACTGTCATATATTGCAGGCCTTTTGTGGTGAAGTAATAAAATCCTCCCAAACTTGCTGGATATTATGGCTCACTCTGTGGCCCGGAATGACGCTTTTCTCCCCTTTATGAATCTTCCGAGCAGCTCTGATGGTGTTTACTGCAGTTTAGGGCCATGTCGCATATAAACCATTCAATTGCTGTGTTTGTTCTCTGTTTGTCTCGTCTCTGTTGCTGTAGACGCTGGAGCCAGGCTCGTACCCAGGATTCAGTTCAGTGAACCCAGCAGAGCAGAGCCCAGCGCCACCCAGAAACCCTGAACTGGAGCAGAAAGCCAAAGCACTGCGTGGACGAATGTAAGACACACGCTCTTCACTCATGTGGCTTGGTCTGGGAGTCAATTCTACAAACGTTACAGTCTGATTTCAGGTCACAGTGACCAAATCACAGGTTGTTTGTTTGTGCTGCCAATCGCTTTATTAATTTCTTATTTATAAAATATATTTGTATAGTTCGGCTCCCAGGTACGTTAACCTAATATATAATGTATATGTGGCGTCACACAAATTGTGCATTGCATTGCATTTTTCATGTTTTATTTATTTATTTTGGTAAATATTTATGTTTAGTTTATATAATTTTTTTAAATGCAAACAATCCATATTATTACATTAAAATGTATAAATGAATGATTCTTTATTTATTTATTTATTTAGTGGGAACTAGTGTGGAAAACATATTGGTTATTTGTTAACTAGATTTTTACTGTATTTAAATTTTTACACACACTGTTGAAAAAAATCTTCTGAAAGAAATTACATATTTTTTTGAAAAATAAATGAAGCCGCATTCCAAGCCATTTCAGAGTGAGTACATAAATATTGAGATATTGTCAAAAGATTGAGAAATATCAAGATTGTTTCCACTGTGTTGCCCAGACTTAACTCAGAGTAATTTTGGTGGGGCAAAAGAAAAAGAAGAAAAAAACAATCTGGTTACATCTGGTAAAATGCAATTGATTCTTGTAAAGCCACCAGATCTGGAATCAATTCCATGTTCATGTAACAGGCAGTGTTGAGAAAATCTCTCTGAATGATATGGCTCTCATTAAAGATCAGAGATATGTATGGGAAAGCTAGGCGTTTGGTCTTTTTATTCGAATTTTTCTTTCACTCTGCCCTTAAAGGGAAGTGTGACATTGCTAAACCTGACACATTATTTTATAGATTAGTCATTTTGTGCCTGTGTAGAAGTCTTTAATAAAAACAATTGTTTGTTCTATTGTAGGTTTGTTGTGAATGAATTAATCCAGACAGAAAAAGACTACGTGAAAGATTTGGGTATCGTGGTTGAGGTGAGAATAGCTGACATCCTGACAGTAGAACATAATTGACCTACCGGTAAGCCCCTCCCCTCGAACGCAGCCTAGCCAATGGCAGTCAAGTATCAGTTGCACGGAGAGCGGAACTCCGATATCTTTAGGTTTTAGCGCCATAGAGAAACACTGGGAGATCCGAAGCTTTCATCGTTTTTATGGTGTTTATGCTACAAAAATGGCAAAACAATGTGCCTGGGATACTTGTAACACTGATTTCAGTTATCCTGAGAGGATAGGCAATGCAATTTATTTTATTCTATTTTCTAAACCCAAACAAAACAGAGCTAAATGTCCCTAAGCATTCACCCCCAATCCCAATGAAGACGAAAACTTTCGTTTTCTGGTTATCATACACTCATTTTCATCTGCTCAAGCAGAACCTTAAAGGAACACTCCACTATTTTTGAAAACTGGCTCATTTTCCAACTCCCCTAGAGTTAAACAGTTGAGTTTTACTGTTTTCGAATCCATTCAGCCGATCTCCGGGTCTGGCGGTAGCACTTTTAGCTGTAGCTTAGCATAGATCATTGAATCTGATTAGACCGTTAGCACCTCGCTCAAAAATGACCAAAGAGTTTCTATATTTTTCCTATTTAAAACTTGACTCCTCTAGTTACATCGTGTACTAAGACCGACGGAAAATTAAAAGTTGCGTTTTTCTAGGCCGATATGGCTAGGAACTATACTCTCATTCCGGCGTAATAATCAAGGAACTTGAAAATCGCAACTTTTAATTTTCCATCTGTCTAAGTACACGATGTAACTACAGAAGAGTCAAGTTTTAAATATGAAAAATATAGAAACTCTTTGGTCATTTTTGAGCGAGATGCTAACGGTCTAATCAGATTCAATGATCTATGCTAAGCTACAGCTAAAAGTGCTACCGCCAGACCCGGAGATCGGCTGAATGGATT